AGCGGGGCTGCCTTTCCCCGGGCTCCCTGCGCTCCGCAGGGCTTTCCGGGTTGATCCGTCATGTGGAGAGATACGGAGTCGGGCCACGGTGGGAGGAAAAAAAGCCCAGGAGGGTTTACAGGAACCGGTTTGAGAGCGTCACAGTTCAGATCTTAGTGGGCGACGCTTGCCGGGCTGCGCTGCGAGGGACCAGAGGAGGGGGTGGCTCGTGGGCAGGGGCGAAGAGCTGTCTCACCCGTCCGTAAGCGTCTCTTCCCTTGCAGGGTGGGTTTGCGAGATGCTACGAAATGACAGACCTCTCCAGCAACAAAACCTACGCCGTGAAGGTCATTCCCCACAGCCGGGTGGCTAAACCCCACCAGCGGGAGAAGGTGGGTGCTGTGGGGCTGGCGGGGTGCAGCGGGGGGGTCCTGCGCTCACCTAGGACCGCTGCTCCCTTTCAGATCACCAACGAGATTGAGCTGCACCGGGACTTGCACCACAAGCACATCGTCAAGTTCTCCCACTACTTTGAGGACACGGAGAGCATCTACATCTTCCTGGAGCACTGCAGTAGGAAGGTGAGCGCTGGTGTGGCCTCCTTGCCAAAGAATCTCCCAAACAGAGCCCTGGCTGGCTGGAGCAGGCCTTATCGGAGGTGCTTTGCTGGCACACTCCTCCTTGGCTGCCTGCTGTGTCACACCCTCTGAGCTCAGCCGAGAGCTGTGCAGTTTTTTATGGCACCGGGGACACCGCGGGCTGCCTTCTCATGTTGGCAGCCTACAGCTCCTGGTGGGGCCACCGTAAATCCAGTGGATCCCCCCTGGCTGTGCTGAGCAACTTCATGTGGGGAGCCTGCTGAGGTCGTGGCTGTAGAAGAAGGATCATTTGTGGATGTGCAACTTCTGGAAGAACTGGCTTTGACCCTGCCCGCCCCGTGCCTAGTCAGCAGGGCTGGCTGTTCTCCCTGCCTGCCATCACCAAGCTGCCTTCTCTCCCTCTGCAGTCCTTGGCCCACATCTGGAAGGCCCGCCATACTCTGCTGGAGCCCGAAGTGCGCTATTACCTCAAACAGATCATCTCAGGCTTGAAATACCTTCACCTCAAGGGCATCCTGCACAGGGACCTCAAGCTCGGTGAGTGCTGCGGTCAGGGCAGGGTGCTGCGTGGGGAGCGAGCTGCCCCAGAGGGACTTGTGGTGATGCATCACCCTTGACTTGCAGGCAACTTCTTCATCAATGAAAACATGGAGCTCAAAGTGGGGGACTTTGGGCTAGCTGCTTGCCAGGATATGTCTGACCAGAAGAAAAAGTAAGTTTGAGGTTTCCCTATTCCAGACCCCTCTGAGGTTTCACTCATCCTCTTCCCCCTGTGGCTTCCTGGGAGGGTGGAGGGGTGAGTGGTCCCTCCTGGCCTGGTGGAGGGAAGCCTTAGGGCCCCTTCCCGGGGTGGGGGAGCAATTCCTGCCCCAGCTGCGGGCAAGGCGAGGGGGCTGGGGGCTTTGTGGCTCTGTCAGGAGCGCGCTTGCAGCCGTCGGGGAGAACAATGTGCTGACTATGGCTATTGTGCCTGCCCGGCTGCCCGGCCGGCTGCGCCCGCCAGGACACAAAGGCTCTGTTCCTCCCTGGCTCTAGGACAAGCTCTTTCCAACGGCTCCCCAGGAGCAGCTGCTCCTGACCCCCAGGAGCTGGAGAAGGGGGAGTTTGTATGGGGCTGCTTGTAGATGGAGAGAGGCTTTGGGCCACAAAGAGCAAATCTGGCTGGGGGGAGCGGGGAGAAGGCAGGCTACAAGCTAAATCCCAGAGCTTGAGGCAGGGGTGAGGCTGGCTGTGAGGGGGTATGCAGCATGCACTGACCTGATGCTCTGCCCCACAGGACAATATGTGGGACCCCCAACTACCTGGCCCCAGAAGTGCTGCTGAGGCAGGGCCATGGGCCAGAATCGGATGTGTGGTCTCTGGGCTGTGTCATGTAAGTCTGTGCTGCTGGGTGGGGAGGGGTCTGGGCAGCCCTGCCTGTGCGGGCTGGGGGAGAGCCAGGATGTGGATCAGTTTCGATGAGGAAGTCCTCTTGCCCTTTGCCTCGTGTCTTTGGAGTGGTTGCCGAAGGCAGGGGGAGGGGATTCTGCCCAGCCCCGCTTTGGAGGGGGTGCTGCAGAGCCATCCCGGGATGCCGCTCGGGGGGCTGCGTGAGCAGGAACTGTGAAGGGCAGGCAGGCACTCTTGTGCTGTGATCAGCCCCGTTTCAAAGCAGCTCCACTGCACTGTGAACCTGATAAACAATGGAAAATCTTGGTGGCTGGCCGCAGTTGCTGCTCTGTTTGTTTGGGGAGTGATCGCCATGCAGCTTTGGCGCATCCCCCCCCTCGCCCAGCCACTGCCAGCGAGCTTCCTGCTCTGCTTTCTGCTGTGCAGGGGTGGGAGTGGCGGCAGGGGGGTGGCCATCTTCTGCCAGCGCTCTCCCCTTCCCCAGGGCTGTTGCTTTAAACGGTTGCTAGGAGGAAGTGTGGCCGGATGTGAGTGCGGCCATCCGGGCTGGAAGTGGTGCTCCCAGCCAGGTGTGGCCGGCCAAATGCCAATAACTTCCTTGCTTTAAGTGCTGCTGAGTCACAAGCCTGCTGGGGATGTGACAGTGGCACGCATGTCCCCTCCCAGGTACACCCTGCTGTGTGGGAACCCTCCCTTCGAGACCTCTGACCTCAAGGAGACCTACAGGTGTATCAAGCAGGTGGAGTACACCCTCCCTGTCTTCCTCTCCCTGCCCGCCAAGCACCTCATTGCCAGCATCCTCAGACGCAACCCGCAGGACCGCCTCACCCTCGAGGAGATCTTGGACCATGAGTTCTTCAAGGTGGGTGGGTGGGGGTCTGGTCTTGACACTTCTCCAGGTGGGATGAGGCTTTTTGGGCTGTTCGGGGCCAGAGTCTCCATCCTTCAAAGGAAGCAGCTGCTGTCCTGCCCAAATGCCAGCCAGGGGAACGGAGGGACCTGGTGTGGTCCTTCTGCCTTGTCCCTGTGGCACGGGCCATTTCCCATACTGATGCTAATTGTGGGGCCAAGGCTTGATGGAAATGCAAGCTGGCTGTCAGGAGGGCCGTGAGTGACTGCGGTCAGCCCAGGGCAGCTGCTGTGCCTGGAGCACGTGGGCTGTGGAAACCAAACCTCTGCCTTGACCTCTCCACAGGGCTACACGCCTGAGAAGCTCCCCCCCAGCAGCTGCGTGATGGCTCCAGAGCTGAGTCCCCCCAACCCAGCAAAGAGTCTGTTTGCTAAAGTCACCAAGACACTCTTTGGGAAGAAGAAAACCAAGGGTGAGTCCATGCACTCGCCCACTTCCAGGCAGAAGTGGGTCCCTGCACAAGCTGGGCTTGCCCCTGACCCTCTGGTGCTAGTGGCCTGGCATGGGTGTGTGCCTGGAGAGCGGATGCTGTGCTGCAACCCACGGGTGAAGTTCCTTCTGGAAGCCCTGTGTTGCATGAGAACTGGGAAGTGAAAGTATGAGGCAGCTTCCTGACACCATCCTTGCTGCTGTTGGCATGGGAGAAGATGAGGGAGAGTTGAGCTGCTGGGAGGGGTGGCCCAGATGTCCCCATCCCCTGGTGCTCATCACCTGCTCTCTCCTCAGCCAAGAAGGGCTCTTTAGAGGACAAAGATGACTTCTCTAAGCTGGTCACTGGGCTGATGAAGACCTCTATCTGCCGGCAGATGAGCTATAAAACCGTGGAGGGGAATGAGGTGAGAACACCCCTGAGCCTGTGCACACCCCTCTTTGGGGGAGCCTGCAGGACGGCGATAAAGCCAGGTCTCTCTGCAGGCCACCCCCATATCGTGCCGCAGTGCCAGCTCTAGCCCTGTGGAGACAGTGGTGGAGGAGACATCTCACAAGTCTGTGTCCCCCTCCGTCCGAGGGACGATGGCCAGCAGCTGTGAGGGTGAGCAATACCTGCCCAGGCTTCCTGTCCTGCCCTGGCTGATAGCAGGGCTGCCTGACTCAGCCTGTCATCTTCTCTCTGCAGCCTTTGAAGACTGCATCACCGCTGCGGCAGCCCTGCCTCTCCTCCATGCCCCTAGGTAAACCGGTTGGACTGCTGTGGGATGGGGCAGGGTGCAGCGCATCCCATTCCCCATGGGATGAAGGCATGGCTGCTATTTTGGGTACCTTAGATGCTGTGGGGGCTCTGCTCCTTCCTGGGGAGGTGAGGTGGGCAGCAGCTGCTGCCTGCTCTGCTCACCCCCCCTGTCGCAGCCCTGCCTCTCCTCCATGCCCCTAGGTAAACCGGTTGGACTGCTGTGGGATGGGGCAGGGTGCAGCGCATCCCATTCCCCATGGGATGAAGGCATGGCTGCTATTTTGGGTACCTTAGATGCTGTGGGGGCTCTGCTCCTTCCTGGGGAGGTGAGGTGGGCAGCAGCTGCTGCCTGCTCTGCTCACCCCCCCTGTCCTCTCCACCAGCGGAGAAAAACCCGGCTTCCCTGGCCCGCCATGAGCACTTTGTCTGGGTGAGCAAGTGGGTGGATTACTCCAACAAGTACGGCTTTGGCTACCAGCTCTCCAACCACAGCATCGGGGTCCTCTTCAACAACGGCACCCACATGACTCTCTCCCCCAACCACAGGTAAGTGGTGGGGCAGGGGTTGGTGTCTCTGGGCAAGCCCCTTGGATGGGAAGGGGTGAGGGGAGGCTGTGCTGGGGTGGGTTTGGTGCTGACTGTCCCCGAAGCTCATGGTCTGCTTCCTCCCAGGACTGTGCATTACAACCTCACCAACAGCAAACACCTCGTGTTCTCTGTGGCCGCCATCCCCGAGCAGCTGCAGGGACAGATGAGTGTCTTGCGCTACTTTGCGTCCTACATGGAGCAGCATCTCATGAAGGTGGGTGCTGGGGGATCCTCTCCCCTGGGCTGGCATCATGGGCAGGGTAGATGTTGGCTTTGACAACACCTCTTGGGGTTGTGGGAGTCCCTTCTCACAGGCTGTGGCCCTGTGGGCACCCAGAGGGTTGTCCTGGGAGCGGGGACCCCACTGGGGGCGTGTCTCGGTTTGGCTGTATGCATGCTGGTGGCGGTGTTCCCACTGTGGGACCGGTGGCTTACGAAGACCCTTCTCTCCAAGGGAAGTGACTTGCCCAGCATTGATGACCTCGGGCAGCCAGCCCTGCTTCTCCTGCAGTGGGTGAAGACTGACCAAGCCTTGCTCATGCTCTTCAACAGTGGCACCCTCCAGGTATGCCTGGACCACAGGGGAGATGGCCAGAGCCTGGTGGGGAGGAGGCCAGCTGGGGACTCCTGGCCTGTGTTCGATCTTGTCTGCCACAGCCCAAATGCAAGGTTTAGCTATGAAAACAGCTGGCACTGATGCTGCTCCAGTGCCCAGAGCTGCTGGCTGCATCTTGTCCAGCCCATGGGAGACATCGTGCTCCAGTTGGCAGCTTCCGTCTGCCCTGGTGCTGGGGCTGGCATGTTCTTGCTGTGGGGCATGGAGCAGGGATGCTCCCAGGCAGGTCAGGGAGGAGGAATGGGTTGAGGCAGGAAGTGTGGCTCCATTCTGGCTCCTGACATGCTGCGGGAAGTGTGGGCTAAACCAAGCCCAACCTGTCTCCTAGGTCAACTTCTACAATGACCACACCAAGGTGATCATTAGCAAGCCTGACCACTCCTGCCTTGTCACCTACATCAACCGGGACCGCAACTCCTACACCTACAAGCTGTGCAGCATCCAGGAGCTGGGCTGCTCTGCTGAGCTCCACCACCGCCTCAGATATATCCTCAAGCTCCTCCAAGAATGGGCTGAGGCCTAGTTTTGGGACCTTGAGGGACCCTCTCTGGATGTAGAGGTCTCCCTCTGCCATCCCACAGGATGGGAGGTATGTTGTGGTGCTGGCTGCTCACCTGGGCATCCTGTATCCCGGTGCTCATCTGGACTAAGACGTGGATGTGGTTACAGCAGCAGATCTGGACATCCTTGCTGCTCCCTGGCTCTGGGCAATCACAGTCTTCCCACTGGCAGCTCCTGCTCTGGATGTGCTGGTCTTGGAGTGGGCTTGTGTGGCACAGGAGGGTGGTGGGTGAGTGTTCTGCAGCCAGGTTTGGGGCTGGCTGTGCCTTGTTTGTGGACTGGTGCTTCAGGCTGTCCTGCCCAAGGTGATGCACCAGTTGCATAGACCCTCTCCATGGCCTGGAGAGGACTGGCACAGCCTTGGCTGCAAGGCTGGGCTGCTGTGGGGTAAGGAAAACTCCTTCCCAGGGCTGGACAGGGCTGAAAGGTGCTGCCTGCCCTGCCATGGTCTGTGTGGGCTGGAGTGTGCCACTCCACGACTGCTACACTAAAAGAAGGGGGCTGTGCTGGGCCTAACCCTGCCCCATCTGCTCCCAAATTGTGAATTGTCTGGTACAACTTGAGGTTTGATAAAGGGTGGGGGGGGAACAGGATCCAAGGGCTTGCCTGGAGAAGCCCTTGTCTTGCTAGAACCAGAGGAGGCTTCTTGTTTCAAGGCAGTCTCTGCTGTGTGTGACTATTTATATATCTTATTTATATGGCATTATTTATTTTCTTGTTGGTCTGTCCATGTGCAGCTCCCCTGTCCCTGACTCACCTCAATAAAAGGATATTTGTGTAAGGGCGAACTGTGTCCGCCTTGCTTGGAGCTGGGGTCCCGAAAGGGCTTCAGCTTCCCCATCATCAAGGAGGCATGATGCGGGGAGGAGCCCGTGTGGTACCTCCACTGCCTTCTTGGTCCTGGCTCCAGGGGCAGAGTTAGCTCCTGCTCATGCCTGTGGAGCCCTGGCATTGCCTCTGCTTCTCCCTGCTCCTGCCAAACTCTTATTCCTAAATGTCTCTGCACTTGGATCAAACCCAGCTGCTCTCATGCTTCTGCTGAGCTGGAGAAGGCAGGGGCTGGGGCCCAGGGGCTGGGTGGGTTGCCTGGGTCCTTGCACTAGGACACCTGGTGTGATGGGATATGAGCTGGGAAGGAAGCCAGGAAAAAGGAGGGAGTTAATCTGCTCCATGAGCTTACTTTGAAGGTGATAGCAGTGCTGGTGTAATCAATCTGCCTGGGAGCAGCTTGTGCTGTGGGAAGCAGGCTGGGCTTGCTCCCTGGAGCATGGCCTTGGGCAGCTGTCTGCTCCAGGGTATTGCAGCCTTCCGGGTTGGATTTGCTGCAGCTGGAGTTGTATGTGAACTGTGGTAGTGGGATCCACAGTGTAGGTGTGAGCCCTGGCTGGGGGCTGTAGTGAGCATCAGTCCATCAAGGTGCATCTGTACCTTGCTCCCGGCACATACCAGAGCCAAATACTCCAGGGATGAGCCACAGCTGGAGCAGACCTCTTTATTTTAGCTGCTCTCCCCTGCAGCTCTGCAAGGCTGGGTGGAGGGAGAGGCAAGTGCTACTCAAAATAGACCCCATGCACTGTGGCCACGGCAAAGAGGGATGCATTGGAGAAGGTGGCAGAGGCAAAGCTGTCACTCCTGGGGTCCCACAGTGCCCGGCTGGCCACCAGCAGGCTCTGCTGGCCCCACTGGCCCAGCAGCACGTGGCAGACCAGCTTGTAGCGGGGTGGCACCACCTCCTTGGCCCGGCTGCGCAGCAGCTCAGCCAGGCTCTGGGTGAGTGGGGCGCTGCCCTGGGGGCTATAGACCGTGGTCCCCAGAGCACCTGCCAGGACCCCCTCCAGCACCTGCTGCACCCGCCCCGCATCAAAC